AATGTTCCAGCTTGGTGACTCGCTAAGTAATGAGACCAGAATCAGAATGACAGCCTTGAAAGTATCACCTGTAAAACAAGTGAGCACATTGCTGAGATGAGAGGCATGTGTGTTGTCATCAATTGGGATGATCAAAATTGAGAGTTTTCATGTTTCTAAAGATTCAGTGAGATTTCAGCAATTCCCATTTTTAGCAAAAAGCATTGGAGGCAATGGAAAATATGAGCTTAAGGTGGTTTTTAAGTGTGCAATGGACTTTAAATTTCTCCTAAGGATTTCTGAAGCTCCCTTCAACTATACTGGATCTGCTCTTGTGTCAAAAAGAGCCTCTCACAGAAAGAAAAAACAGGCTAAAAAAATGTAATGCAACAAGTACATAAAGAAAGAAAAAAATAAGTAGAAAGAACAGTAAATAATTTAACTAATTAACCTAAACCATCTCTCATCCCCAAAAAATAAATAAATATATCTTCAAAAAAAAAAAAGATTACGTTTTTTTTTTTTTTCCAATTTAATTTCACCAAAATCACTCTGCTGATCCCCAACCATTAACTATTTTTTTCTAATTATTTTTGGAGAGAATAAGGTGGGGCTAAATCTTTTGTCTGCTTTATGTTTTCTGTGTTTCCCCTTAAGGGAGCCTGAGAAGGCATCTATGCAATGAAGACAAATGTAGCAACAAACACAGCTTTGAAAATCATAGTCTCCTATTTAACAATTTGGAGGTGGGAATGAAGATTGAATTCCAGCTTGGTAGCATCTGATGTTTAATCCGTATCTCTGAATAATGAATTCCTGATGTGTGTGATAGTGCAGGAATGATGGAAGTTTGTTGATGCATGTACCATAACGGTTCTTCAAAGAAGCAGATCCATGATCCAGATGGTTGAAAGATATTTTAAGTGGACCCTGTTCTGGTCCTAAGCTGCTACCTTTGATAGCGACAAAAGAAGTGGTCACCAGATGGTAAATTCTTGGATGTATGCTGAGAGCACCTGTGTCACGTACTTGTATTAGGAGCCTGAGATGATGAGAGTGGCCTCTTGAACAATTCCTGTCTGAGCACCCCTTAAAGTTGGGACAGGAGCTGCTAAAGAATTGGAAGGGTGCAGGTGAAGCTGGAACTGAATACTTAAACTTAAAACAGCTGGTTTCAGGTCAGCAAAAGCCCAGCGATGAGGGCTCCTGGAATTCACCAGGTCCAGCAGAGAGCAGAGCCAGTTCACCAACCAAGTTCAGTGACAGTTGAGTAGGAAGGCACCAAATCATGAACAGTTTCAATGCCAGGGATGAACAGAGATTGACAACATACAAGCAGTGAGGCACATAATTCTTAGGAAAAATCTTGTTCAAGAGTCCAGGCCAAGGTCGATAGCAACATTGTTATGTTCCTATCCCTTTAAATGTGCATGTTTATTTGCATGAGATGCATGAGATGAACGTTTGTACCAGGCACTTCTCAGTAAACATCCATGTATAATGAATTGTAAGAAAAGCGCAATCTTTAAAAATGATACCAAAGTAAGATTCCCCAATCTGCTCATTACTAGAGATTATTATAACAAAGGGTTTTAATTTTCACAAAATCTCAGTAGAAATTTGGAGATTACAGCATAATTTGACTATTTTTGGTAAACAGCATTGCAGTTACAGAGAAAGATGAACTTAGGGACGATTTTAAGGGTGCATTGGGACTAAAATGGCTCTTGAGGGTTACAGAAGTGCACAATTTTAAATCTGCTCTTGTGCATAAAAAAATCCCCCCATTCATCTTCTTACTTTTATTGTACTAAATTTTGCACTAAAAGGAAAAGACAGTAAACAAAATTAAAGCAACAATACCAGGGCATTGAGACTGACAGCTCATGGGGCCTCCGGGCAATAGGGCATCATGGGGCCCCTGTGTCCTTGCCCAAACTCAAAAAAGCCTATGAAAAAGGTACCAGGGGCATCTCATTGGGCCCCCGACTGACCCGGGCCCTCGGGCAATGCCCGAGTTTCCAAATGGTAAGTCCGCCCCTGAACAATACACAAATACAACATTCATACAAGGAAGAAATACAAATACAAAGAACACTAAATCAAAAAATTGAAACATTCTAAATAAACTCCCCCAAATAACATACCATACAAATAACAATGTATATGTTTATTTTTCAAGCAAATTTCACTTATACAACTGTATTGACCAAATTTGTGATTGTGCTGCAAATATACAATTAGCTAAAATTGTTCCGTTCATCCATATTTAAAACTAATCAAGTTAAATTCAATAAATAAATGATTTATTAAGGGATCTTTTAGTGCTCATTTCATTTAGACATTGGAGTTGATTTACTAAAGGCAAACAGACAGCTGCACTGCAAGAGCAGTTGCTCCAGAGCTTAGTAAATGAGCATCTAAATACTCTGCTGACTTCCATCATCCAATCATGTGCAAGCAAAAATGCTGTTTTTTTTTTAATTTTCTTTGATTGGGTATTCTTTGCAAAGTGAAAGTTTATGTAATTTACTATGCTCTTTAGTAAATCAACCCTATTGTGTATTTAATCCAATAAAAGGCACAATTGAGAAAAAAATGCACTCCTGTACCAAGTAATAAGTAGTGCAGACTGGTCTTTGGAAGCCTATTCATTAAAAAGTGAACTGTCCTATCCAAGGTCTTCGTGATTTTGAACTTTAAAGTAACATATCATTTTTGAATTTTAAGCCTTTTTTAAGCTGCTAGCTTCTGAAATTATGTGACTTTGAAAATGGTTTGCTTCAGTCATTTTTTTTGCATAGTTTTGTGAGTTTTCTGTATTTATAAAAGTGAGAAGTCCTTTTTTCTTGCAAAATCTCTGAGAAGAATTTTGCATGATTCAAGTTCTATAAATTAGTAATTCTGAAAAATGTGTTATTACACATTTTGTTACCTTTGCACTTTGTCAAAACAGGCCTCTAACTGCCCTTAAAAAAACAGATTTAGGTCTGATTTACATGCACAATATCACAATGCGTTGTAAGGCATATTACATGTGTAGCTGGGGAGCAGACAGGAGGGATCTGCAAGAGCTGAGGGGAGACACCAGAAAGTACAGCAGTCTGTCTGGAGACACCAGGGGAGAGGTGGGAGAGATACAGTACTGACGTGACACTGTGACAGAAAGGTACTTCCTGTTCTGCTAGCTTGGTCAGAAACTCCGATAAGAGGACTGTGAGATCTTACAAAAGGGAGTTTGCAGAATATAGTAACAGAATTGAACCACATAACCATGCAGGATCTGCTGTATTTCATCCAGACCAGAAGCAGAGACTATTAGGTGGTTGTTGGAGATTGTCAAGCAAGAGTTTTTTTTTTGATTGGGATTCACTCTGGAGAACACATCTCACCCAAAAATCTTGTTTGACTCTTAAGCCATATAAGCTAGGAATCCATTATATCTAGTGAGTGTGGACCATATGGGAAGGTGATCACGGATGGTGTGGGCACGTTGAATTTCCTTTGGCACTGTTTCTTTGATTGGAGCACTTTTTTCACCATTTATTTGGGTCAGTGGACTTTATTAATTTATACACATATATACATAGATATTGTTTTATCACTGATGGTAATTTATTATTTGTTTTAATTTTTGCGCTGTAGTATTATTTTTATATTACATGTGTTGACTTATTGTGGTGCTATTCATTTTGAATAACCCCCACTCATTGCAGAGCACTGCCACAAATGGCATTGCACCTTAGTGCACTGCAGTGCAGAAGTCAAATTTTGCCACATCCAATATTGGGGACATTTTAGTGCATAGTCAGCCCATTGTTTTAATTACAGCACCTGCATAAAAGCACCACACAAATGTAAAATGTTACTTAATGTATCAAGATTGAAAATTAACTGTCAAATCCTGGGTTTCTACCCTGTAACCCAAATTATTCCCAATTTTTTTAAAATATAGACTTTTCATTATTTATTTGGTAGAAATTGGCTAGCATCAGGACAGTATACAAGAACTTGACCATACAGCAAATCGAGCTCTGCTGTGCGGGCCTTTTGTAACCTCTACGTTGTCAACAGAACCAGTGTGGTCTACAGTCTCTGCCTGCAACATATCGGACATGGTAAAATAATATTGTACAGTGGATCAAAATCAATACGTGGATTCTTTAAAGAGATGCCCGTAGCGAAAGGAAGAAAAAAGAAAAATAGGGCAGGGCAGGCATTACTAGGGTAAGAGGGGGTTAGTAAAGACAGGAAAGGGTTAAAAGGAAAAGGTGGGAGTTAGAATATGGGCAAGTTACCTGATTTGTGACTGGGGGGGTGCAGGGTGGGGTCTTCGACACCTTTGGGTATGGATGGGGAGGGTTGTCAGTTCAGTGCAGGAGAAGACAGCGTTGAGAGAGCTTCCCTCCCGCCCTCCTTTGGGGTTGTGTGGGTGTTTTGTCAAATCCCGGGTTTTTTGTTTTGGTTCTGGGGGTGGTTGTTGGTCTTTGGAGACGGCACTTATTTTGAAGCTAAAGATAATGGTTTGGAACCCATCGGTGGTAGGGTGTGCCCGGGTACATTCTGGTCAGGGGCGGACTGACCATTTGGAAACTTGGGCACTGCCTGAGGGCCCAGGGTCAGTAGGGGGCCCCATAAGATGCCCCTGGTACCTTTTCCATAGACTTTTTTGAGTTTGGGCAAGGACACAGGGGCCCCATGATCCCCTATTGCCCGGGGGCCCCATGAGTTGTCAGTCCGCCCCTGATTCCGGTTAACCGAGGTTTAACTGGTAGGTGATAGTTCTGCACTGCAGATGGTATGTTTTTGTCTCCGAGCCGGTGCGTTGTGGCTGGAGGCCTAGTTATAATATAGGTTCCACAGGAGGACATCGGTTTTGGTTTGGTGCCTTTGAAAACCAAAAACTTCTATATGTTTCTGTTTTAAGGAATGTTTTGTGTATTGAAGTTGAAGTGTTAATAAAAGGCTGTTTTGGCCATTTTACTCCAATCGGTGTTATTTTTTTCTTTGATAGTATGTTAACCTCCCTGGAGGTATTCCCGAGTGTAGCTCGGGGTAAAGTTTCAGCACCATAAGCGGTAACCCCGAGCTACACTCGAGAATACCCTGCAGCATTGCTCCGGGATCTCTTTTTCACTTACCTTGTACTTTGCTCCCGCGATGTCCCTCTTGCAGCATCCCTGGCAATGTCCTCCAGCCGATGCCGGCATCTGTCTTCCTGGTTCCGTTCCCTGCGAGCGTCGGGACGTACGGGGACAGAACTGGCGGGAAATTTAAAAATGTGAAAAAGTGACATTTACTAAATACACTAAAATCACATAGTATAACATTACTGTATCAAACCATTTCACATACATTTTGTCCCGAGTGCTTTGTCCTGTGCCCTGCCTGCATTTTTACTGCTCTTTCTGCCTTGAAACTGAGAAATGTCCATGGCGTCCAAAAAGCATCCCTTTAGGTCAAAAGCAAATTTCAGTGTTTTTGGTTTGATTATAGTATTGATTTAAATTTATTATTACTATATTATTATTTTTTATGATTATTTATTAAATTATCATTTATGATTTCGTGTTTCAAATTTTAACATACCCGGGATGTTTACTAGACTCTTGTTCGGGCAGATTTCAGTGAGTTATTCCTAAAAATTACAGGCCTACAATAAAAAAAAACACATATTTCCATGCAAAAAAATGTACCGCTTTGAGCACAGAAATACTGACATAATCAGACCGTTAGGGAGCCTACAGGGGTATGTGAGAGAGTGAGATGGTGGTGTAGGGGGTCTTGACTAGCCTATCTCTTGTGCACTAGTCATGACAGTGAAGGAGAACAACAAAAGAGAAGCGCACCAACCTTGCGCATTACCTCAGTAACCAAAAATTTATTGAATAGAAGAATGGTACTCACAAACAGCGAATAAAAACAAGCATGTAAGTCCTCAAAGGGACTTTAGAGGCAAGATGCCAATGCAAATCCCATCATGGAGGAAGCCACTCAGTACAGCTGACGCGTTTCGAAGGACATGCCTTCTTCCTCAGAGCTGAGGATAAATTTTTGGTTACTGAGGTAATGCGCAAGGTTGGTGCGCTTCTCTTTTGTTGTTTCTCCTTCATAGTTTTGTTTGGACTTCCCCAGCCTTGATGTGGAGCTGCACGACCTTGTTTTTATTCCGGTGGTTCCTTTCTTTTTGGAGTTTGATTCCATCTACTCACCACCGGCCTGGGTCCCGGAGCGCAGGAGATATTACATTTGGTTCACTAGTCATGACAGCCAGTCAAGCAGACAATTGAAAACCTGAAAGGTCAGCTGAGTTGGAAACTGTGAGAAAGCAGTAACATGGTAGAGTCAGATGAATTCAATGCCAGGTTGTGGCCCTTGGACATATTTGTACAAATTGAAGCTGAACAAGAAAAGAACCAAAGAGTGGTACACAGTTGACAAGCAATATCAGTAACACAGGTAGACAAAAGATCAGGGCAGGTGGTAAACAAACATAGTCAGATACAAGCAGAAGTCAGTAAATGGAGAAAAAAGAAACTTCAGAAATAACAGACTGGGCCTAGGAAATTATTCTAATACTCTGGAAACAGGTGTTGGTCTGAGCATAGCTAACTAATGAGCTTGATTGATAAACTGGATGGGGATTTATCCTGTAGGTGACCTACAAACCATCAAGTGAGTTCTATAGGCAATGCCTATACCTCTTAGCCCCAGAACAAAGCATGCTGTAGTAAGATACAAGAAGCCACATGCTTACAGAAGCAGAAGTAGCAGATCTGATAAAAATAAGATATTTTCTAAACCACTTACACTTATCTTGCATCAAATTCCAACATCTGTTTGGTTTGACCATCACCCATTATTGGTTTCCATCAACCTGTAATAAACGATTTGTATAAAAATAAGTAATATTGCACTATTGTGACACTTCCACCTTTCATTTCCGACTACGCAAACAAGTCGATGATTATGTATGTTATTAAAATGTGTTAAAGTGACCTCAGACACTGAGGAGATGGCACCATGGTTTAGTCACAATGGACGAGTTCAGCCCTCGGAGGAATCTCTCTGCTACAAATCTCCCCACACTTGTTTTTTAGTAGCCCCAAGCACAGTGAATGAATTGTAAAATGGACAGAAGGAAAGGACCCAGAGATCAGCTTGTTAATCTCAGAATGTAATCTTCCTCAAGGTGTTGATTCTCAAGTGCTTTTCCTATCATATACTTCATCTGAGTGCTTTTTTCACACCTGGGGGTGGAAAGGAATCAATCTTACCTTGTGCTAGAGATGAGCGAATCGAAGTATCCGATAGTGGAATTCGAGTCGAATTTCGGAAAAATTTCGATTCGTGCCGAATCCGAAAAACAGCCTAATTCGGACGCGCGAATCGAAATTTTTCCGAAAATGGCGGCTGACATGTGCGGCGACGGAGCGGGGATGTCGGGGAAGGCGCGCAGACAAGGCGCGCTGCCCCCCATAATGCATTCCTCAACGACATGTGATCGCATCAGCCAAATCAGCAGCCAGCCAGCCAGCACTGTGTAATGGTCGATGGGTATATATAGCGGCCATTTTGGAAATCTTCATTTGCCTGCAGTCATTGAACAGAGGCAGACCGCTCTGTACTAGGACAGGGACAGAGTTCATGAGTTAGGGCCACATGAAGCAAACGAGAATTGGGGATCAGAGAGAAGTTACTTTGGGACAGAGAACCATTACTCAGGGACACAGACTTGTTAATGAGGGCCACAGAATCGTTATTTAGGGACACAAGAAACGCTAGTTAGGGCCACAGAATTCATACTCAGGGACAGACAGAATTGTTACTTTCAGTGCCAGAGAATTGTTACTTAGGGGCCACAGAAACACGTTATTAGGGCCACAGAAGTTTTACTCAGGGACAGACAGAATGTTTACTGAGTGCCAGAGGAAAATTGTTACTCAGGGACAGACAGAATTGTTACTGGAGTGCCAGAGAATTCTTACTCAGGGCCCACAGAATTCATTCCTCAGGGACAGACAGAATTGTTACTCAGGGACAGACAGAATTGTTACTGAGTGCCAGAGTATTGTTACTCAGGGACAGACAGAATTGTTACTGAGTGCCAGAGAATTGTTTACTCAGGGACAGACAGAATTGTTACTGAGTGCCAGAGAATTGTTACATCTCACAGACACAAAAAATGTTACTTGCACAGACACAGAATTGTTACTATGCACACAGGACACACAATTGTTACTCAAGGGCCACAGGAATTCATACTCAGGGGACAGACAGAATTGTTACTGAGTGCCAGAGAGAATTCTTACTCAGGGCCACAGAATTCATACTCAGGGACAGACAGAATTGTTACTCAGGGACAGACAGAATTGTTACTGAGTGCCAGAGAATTGTTACTCAGGGACAGACAGTATTGTTACTGAGTGCCAGAGAATTGTTACTCTCACAGATCACAAAATTGTTACTTGCACAGAGCACAGAATTGTTACTTGCACAGATCACACAATTGTTACTCAGGGGCCACAGAATTCATACTCAGGGACAGACCAGAATTGTTACTGAGTGCCAGAGAATTGGTTTACTTCAGGGACAGACAGAATTGTGTTACTGAGTGCCAGAGAATTGTTTCTCTCACAGACACAAAATTGTTACTTGCCAGACACAGAAAATTTTTTACTGCACAGGGAAAAAATTGTTCTCAGGGCCACGAATTCATATCAGGGACAGACAGAATTGTTACTGGGA